CTGATAACGATGATTTTGATCAAAACGCAAACAACAACAACAAACAACAACAACAACAGCCACAACAACAAAACATTCATACCTATGAGCAGTGCCTTGTTCTCACCGAATACGATGAAGACAACTTCAACAACGTCAACAACAACATCCGAAACGACATCAACAACCTATACTACAACAAAAATAACTTTCTGTATTTCAACGGTGACATCAACAACAGCAACCACAACAGCAACAACAGCAGCAACAACTACGACAACAACGATTTTCAATTTTTAGAATCCTACAACTTTGGACAAATGCAAGCAGCTTATGATATTTTACAAGACTTTAACGCGGTTTCATCGCTTAATTCCACTTTTAAGAGCATAAACAAAGACAGCAAGAACACGAACAAAGACAACAAAATTTTAAACAAAAAAAACAAAAACATGAACAAAGACAACAACAACAACATAAACAAAGACAACAACAACAACAAACACAACGACATCAACAAACTGAAATTTCCATTCTGCAATCACTTGCGAATAATCGACTCCCTTAGCGATTTCGACCTACAGGACTGCTCACCGCCACTCTTCAAAAAATACAAACAAGGTAAAATTAGCGAACCTGCCAACCAAGATCCCAGCCGGAATCTCAAAAATTACAACAACAACAACCACATTGACAACAACAACAACAACGACAACCACATTGACAACAACAACAACGACAACCACATTGACAACAACAACAACGATAACCATATTGACAACAACGACAACAACAACGACGATTATGAGAATAATAGTGATGGGCGAAATTCAGGAATGTGCGAGTCGGTATTGAGTCGGTTATTGAGGTTGGATCGAAATGCCAAGGCGGTACATTGCTTATTCGAGCAGGCGATCTCATTCTACAACTGTGAGGATGATTATTCGCAATCTGCCAGATGTCGTCAGTGTAAGGTCAGTTATGATGATGATGATGCTGGTGGTTGTGGTGATGATGATGATAATAATGTCAGTCATGATGATGTTGCTAATGATGATGATTGGGGTATCTTACCATGGTTTTTTTTTATCATTTTTATAAGTGACTTCATTGTCATAAAAGCCGCCGTCTTAAATACACCATCGTAATCATTATCATCATAATCAACAACATCATCATCAACATCATCAACATCATCATCATCATTATCATCATTTTCTTCTTCTTCTTCTTCTTTTTTTCTTCCTCCTCTTCCTCCTCCTCCTTCTCATCATCATCACCATCATCTCAGAGAACATGTGCCCAAAATCTACTGATTGTATTAAATTGTTGTATTGATATTCTAATACAAAACCGCGTGTGCGTGTGTGTATGTGTGCGTGTGTGTATGTGTGCGTGTATGTGTGCAATCGTTCATTAGTTTGTTCATTCATTCATTCATTCATTCATTCATTCATTCATTCATTCATTCATTCATTCATTCATTCATTCATTCATTCATTCATTCATTCATTCATTCATTCATTCATTCATTCATTCATTCATTCATTCATTCATTCATTCATTCATTCATTCATTCATTCATTCATTCATTCATTCATTCATTCATTCATTCATTCATTCATTCATTCATTCATTCATTCATTCATTCATTCATTCATTCATTCATTCATTCATTCATTCATTCATTCATTCATGCATTCATGCATTCATGCATTCACTCATTCATACATTCATTCATTCATGTACTCACTCATTCATTTATTCATTCATTCATTCATTCATTCATTCGATCATACATTCATTCAGTCGATCA